GGCAAGCCACTCCCATCCAATCACATGGGCGGTAAGCCACTCCCACAAAGGAGGCCACACCCACAGAGTAGGTTCGAACAATTTTTGAAACCCACCACTGGGCAACAGGCATCTATTTATAACAGGTGCCGTGTCCAGGTGCAATGTGGCCACTAACTGTAACTACCCCAGCTGACTTCCAATAAGCAAAGTCAATGGGACAAACTAGATTCTCTTAATAACTGTGTTAAGTGCTATTGCTTAACTACGGCAAAAAGGTCATAAAAATGGGGCAAAGCCTGCCCAACGACTGCCTTGCTTAGCAACAGAAATTTGGACTCAATTGTGGTCATAAGTCAAGGACTATCTACAATGCTTTTTCCACCGATAAAAATATTTCAGAATTGTGAGTCCACTCTATGCTGTGATAATTTGTGTGTGCATCAGAGGTGGTATTCTACCAGTTTGGACCGGTTTGCCTGAACCGGTAGCAGAAATCTCGGGTGGCCCACCCACTCACCCCGGTTCTATAACATCCCATTTAGGTACTTTTTTCACCAAAGGTGCATGTGCGGAGGTACATTTGCATTCTCTAGATTAACCTTTTCAGGCAGGATTCATCATTGAGATGGCATTGGCTGCTCTTATAGATAAATTTTGTAGAGATTTGGAGAAGAGTTGCATCTCCCTCCTGTTTCTTTTGGATCTCCCAACAGTGTTTAATATTATGTTTTAAGTATTTAAGTTTTAAGTTTAATATTTATGGGGTTAAGAAATGGAAATGCTGTTTTGCAATGATTCCATTCCTGCTTCAGAGGGCAGGCCTGTCCAATTATTATTGTGGGAAAAGAGACAGCCTTAGTGGTTACCTATGTTAGGGGATTCCAGGCTTCTCCCTTTTCAACTTTTATAACCATAAAAATAATACTTAGACATATATACCACTCCACAGTGCTTTACAGCATTCTCTGAACAGTTTACAAAATCAGCATATTGTCCCCAACAACCTGGGTCCTCATTTTACTGAAGGTTGGAAGGCTGAGTCAACCTTAGGCTTGTCAGGATCAAACTCCTGGCAATGGGCAAAGTTAGCCTGCAATACTGCATTCCAACCACTGAGCCACAAAGACTCCTTTATATGAATCTGCTACATGAGATCTAATTTAGCATTTCCGTTTGGTATCATTTATGTTGTGAAAAAAAAATGTTCTGCCTTAACCCATTAAGCTTCCTTGCCCTGAATCAGACAGAAAATATCACTCTTATGCAGATTCAAAAGCCTGCATGTCCGAAATATCTGGGAAACCTATGAAAGACTAAATAAATATTGGGAAAAGTACCTGCGATCCACACAAGTATAATTAAACAAACTCCATTCTAACCTAGCATACCAACCAATGTTTCTTAACAAATCAAAAGAGAGAAACTTTTCTAACCAGTGCAGCCAATTTATTGAGGCAAGGAAGGATAGACACCTGGATTAGTTTAGAACAGAGGTCTTCAAACTTGGCAACTTTAAGACTAGTGGACTTCAACTCCCAGAATTCTCCAGCCAGCATAGCTGGCTGGAGAATTCTGGGAGTTGAAGTCCACTAGTCTTAAAGTTGCCAAGTTTGGGGACCCTTTAGCACCTGTATTTTGATAAAGTTCTGCTATTTTTAACGGGGATGACGAAGGGAATATTTTAAAGCAATAAAGGACAATATTTTAAAACATCAGCTTGCTTTAGCTGGCAAAACCCACCGATTTTTGCTGGTCTTCCAACCCAGAAAACACTACTTCGTTTGGGGTCACCCTACAAGAGGTTGCTCCTCCTCATCCTCCTCCCCCGGCCAAGTTACCTGCAAGAGGCAGTAGCCGACCTCGGAGTGTTCAGCCAAGCTCACGCTGTAGACTCGGCGTTTGAAGACGGGCTCGTTGTCGTTGGCATCCGCGACGGTGACGCTCACCAGGCAGGAGGCCGAGAGGGGCGGCGCGCCCAAGTCCCGGGCCAGCGCCCACAGCTGCACCAGCGCTTCCCGCTCGCGATCCAGCGGGCCTCGGAGACTCAGGACGCCGCTGAGCGGGTCGAGGAGGAAAAGCTCGCCGTGAGGCTGCGAGGGGACCAAGGCGTAGCGCACCTGGCTGTTGCGAGAGCCGGGCTCGTCGGCGTCCGAGGCGCTGAGGCGCAGGACCACCGAGCCGGCCGACGCGGCTTCGGAGACGGTGGCTCGGTAGCGGGGCTGCGCGAAGACCGGAGCCTGGTCGTTTCGGTCGGCCACGCGGAGGGTCAGCACGTGGCGCGCGGAGAGCGGCGGGACGCCGGCATCGACGGCCGTCAAGCGGAGCTCGTAAGCTTCGCGGGTCTCCCGGTCTAAGGGACCTTCCACGCACAGGAAATAGACGCCGACGCCGCCGGAGCGCCGCAGCGAAAAGGCGCCTTCGCCGCCTTCCAGGCTCAGCGCCACGCCGCCCGGTTGTTCGTCGGGGTCGGAGACGGACACGCGGGCTACGTAGTCCCCCGACCGCGCCCCTTCGGAGACTCCGGCGCCGGCCTCGGTGAGGTAGAGCAACTGAATGACCGGCGGGTTGTCGTTCACGTCGAGGACTTCCACGGCCACCCAGGCGGTCGCCACTTCGGGCAGGGCGCCGCCGTCTCGCGCTTCCACGGCCAGTTGGTGACTAGCGCGCAACTCGCGATCCAGCGGCCGGCGCAAACGGAGCAACCCGCTGCGCTCGCCCACCTCGAAGTAAACCGCCGCAGAAGAGTCTCCCTGGCGGCGGCTAAGAGCGTAACGCACCTCCCCGTTAACACCCAGGTCCGGGTCGGTGGCGAAAACCCGACACACGGAAGCTCCCGCCGGCGCGTCTTCCCGTAGCTGGGCGCGATACTCGCGTCGGTCGAAAGTGGGAGCGTTGTCGTTTTCGTCCAGTACTCGGAGCTCTACCCGGAGGCGTCCGCTCCGGCGAGGGCTGCCGCCGTCCCAAGCCTCGACCAGCAACCGGTGGGTAGCCGCCTGCTCCCGGTCCAGCCGTCTCAACAAGAGCAGATCCAGAGGGTCGGAGGGAGCACCGTAGCGCACCTGGAAAAACGGATCTTCCTCCTCCTCCGCGGAGCCGTCCTGGTCCCCCGGCAGCAAGGAGTAGCCCCGGACGCCGAAGCTTCCCTCGTCGGGATCGCGCGCGGCGGGCAGGCGGAAAGCGCTGCCGGGCGGGCTGAGCTCGGAGACGCTGAGGCGCACCAACTCCCGGGGGAAGCGGGGCGCGTGGTCGTTCGCGTCGGCGACGGCGATTTCCACCTGCACGATCGCCCCTCTCAGCGTGGCCGCCGCGAAGCTGTAGCGCGCTGTCCGCTCGCGGTCCAGGGGCCTGGCGGTGCGGATGATGCCGGTGTCCGGGTGGATGTGGAAATCCGCCAGCAGGGCGGATTCCCCGCTGCCTTCCGACAAGAAAAACCCACCAGGGTGGGCTTCCCCAGGGGGCAGCCCCGCGCTAATGTCCCCTACCAGAGTGTCAGCCGGCAGGTCTTCGCCCACTTCCAAGCTGAGGTTATACACCTGGGCTGAGCACTGCCCAGCAATGCACAGGCACAGCCACAGTGGGATCGGCCATCTCCGGGAGATCCAAGGCTTCAATGCCGGTCGCCCCCTCAGCTTCCTCCATCTCTTCCTCGTCTTCAAGGCGGGAGGTCGGAGCTCCATGCTGGCCTCGATCTCTTTGCCTCAGCCACACACACCGATGAAGCTTCCCCCTCGGGTGCATTAAACACTTTTGAGCACTTGTAGCTCATCCAAATCAGTGTGACCAGCGCTTCTCCTTAGTCTTTTCCTTTCCCATGCCCTCAGCCCTCCTTGTAGCCTGGACGGAGTGCATTCAGACTGCTTTCACCCATAAAACTCTGGCTAAGCAAAACCTGTGCCAGGCTCCAGCGGGCAAGACATTTCCCTGCCTCTCTCCCGGCTGCTTGTTTCTGATGCTGCTGTTTCTGCAGTCTTCGCCAAGGACCTCTGAGATGCTAACACACCCCTACCCCATGTGATGAGGAAGGGGGGGAATGAATAGCCTGGGACTTAGCCCCAATTAACCAGCCTATAGCAGCCTTGCTAGGCACTAACTACCCAGCTAACTTTGAAACAAGATTAAGATTTTATTTTAATTCATTTTTAAATCTTGGTCTCCCGCCTTTCAAAGGAAGTTATATAGTACAGCTTGTTAAAGCAGTATTTCTCTAACATGAACAATTAGGTCCTGCAATTTATATGTTGGAATCCCTATTGTTCAGGATTTCTTTTCATCACTTTTAAATTATTTTAAGCCAACCCTCAGTAGTCCTTGCTGAATTAATTTGGAGATGATGTCCTCTTATCTTAGTAGGTGTTTGTGTTTCTTTCAGGGTTTGTTTGTTTTTTACTTTATCTTTGCAAAACTTGGAAGTGTCCAAAACTATGATATGTAAGCTAAATGAGGAACTTGAACTAACAGTATGAATATCATAATTAGAAAGAATGACAAGCAGGGGATGTATACATGTTTTATAGAAAGCTACGATAACCTGTACAAGTTTGACGTGACCCGTCAAAACCGCGGTCCACAAAAGCGCGCTCGACGAAAGCGCGTACATGACGTCATCACAGCGCGACGAAAAAAATTAAAAATTGAAATAAAAATAAAATTAAAGCAAGCCGATTCACATAAAGGTAAGGGTTAGGGTTAGGGTTAGGTTAAGGGTTAGGGTTAGGTTTAGAGCGTTAGGGTTACGTTTAGCGTTAGGTTAAGGGTTAGCGTTAGGTTAAGGGTTAGGGTTAGGTTTAGGGCTAGGTTAAGGGTTAGGGTTAGGTTTGGGGGGGTTAGGGTTAGGTTTGGGGGGGTTAGGGTAAGGTTTTCGCTTTAATTTTACATTTATCGATCACAGCGCGATGTTTTCGTCACGCTGTGATGACGTCACGTACACGCTTTCGTCGAGCGCGCTTTTGTCTACCGCGGTTTTGTGGTGGAACCCAAGTTTGATACGTATCCAGTACTTACTAAATAGATAATTCACAGTAAATAATAAACATTTTTATAATGCTTTCAGGACTTTAAAGTGCTTTGTTTGTTTTATATGATTTTACTCTTATAACAAGTACTCTTATAACAAATAAGAGATACCATATTTTTCAGAGTATAAGACGCACCTTTCCCCCCCAAAAGGAAGGTCTTTTCAGCGTCTTATACACTGAATACAGCATTTTTGGCTTACCGCAACCCCACCCCTTTGCAAAAATGGCCATGCAGAGAGTTTGGGAGGCTTGCAAAGTTCTCCTGGTGGCTGAGGAGGGCAAAAACGATTAAAAACAGGCTGTTTTTGCCCCCCCCCCAGCCCCAGGAGCACTCTACAAGCCTCACAAAGCTCTGCATACCCTTTTGTTTTTGCAAAAAAATGGCCCGTTTTTTGCTCGTTTTTGTGGGCCCCAGGTGCACTCTACAAGCCTCCCACAGATCTGCATGCCTTTTTTTTTTTCAAAAGAGGCGTGCAGACAGTTTGGGAGGCCTGCAGAGTGCAAAACCTTTTTTTAAAATTTACCTCTTCAAAATCGTGGTGCCTCTTATACTCCAGTGAGTCTTATATTCTGAAAAATATGGTATTACATCATCTACTCCAGACTGAAGTCTAACATAAGGATCACTTCACAGCAGAAGAGTCAGCCTTGTGCCTTCCAATATATAGATCAAACGCTGTAATACTATTATTATTTTGTCTTTGACTTCTGCTGACTATGCAGTGTTCTTGGCAACATTTTACCTGCTCCTATAGGACATTGCTAAACTTAAATTTGTGATGGATGCATTTAGTTGCATAATTCCCAAGGCTTGATTATCAGAGAAAGCTATTAATACTAAAATATTTGGAGTTTTTTAGCAATAGCAGTTAGACTTATATACCGCTTCATAGGGCTTTCAGCCCTCTCTAAGCGGTTTACAGAGTCAGCATATTGCCCCCAACAACAATCCGGGTTCTCATTTTACCCACCTCAGAAGGATGGAAGGCTGAGTCAACCCTGAGCCAGTGAGATTAGAACCGCTGAACTGCAGATAACAGTCAGCTGAAGTGGCCTGCAGTACTGCACCCTAACCACTGCGCCACCTCGGCTCTTAGTTTTAGAAGACTGGGAGTTAGTTTTCTCTGATAATCACTTTTATTGAAAATTGTTCTCTTGGACAGCTATATTATTTAAAGTTCCAAATTTTGTGATACTTTTGGCATCACTTCTCTTTCTTTAAAAACTTGTATTGTGTCTGATACATTATTTTTTCAAATATCGTTCAACTTTGTATAACTAATCCTTTTTAAAAGAAAGATAAATATAATGAAACTATCACCCCATAAAATTTCCGGGAGTTGATCTACAAAAGTATGATTGAAATGATCAAGAGACTGAACCAGCTCTATTATGAGCAAAAGTTGCAATGTAGGAACTTTTTAGCTTCAACAAAAAATGCAGTGTGGAAAGTTGAAACACCAAACAGAGAGATTCAACTACGCAGAGTCAATTTGATAAGAATTTGGATAGGAGATCAACAGGAAATACCAGGACTAAAAGCTAGCCTGGAAAATTAGTAGAGGGAATCCTTGAAGAGAGCAATGGCACTCTATTTTCATTGGGTTGCTAATAAAATTATAAGGACACCTCCATGAAATCACCAGGAGTACACCCAGGAGTGGGTTCCTGTACCGGTTAGCACTGGTTCACTTTGCGCGCCACGTGTTGCTCATGCATGCACACTTGACTGTAATTTCTTCCCTAACGAACTGTTGTAAGCCAAGGACTACATATAATGTAATGTAACGTACTGTATTGTACAAGGGAGGTGGTGGCTCAGAAGGGGCGTGGTGACTCAGTGGCTAAGACGCTGAGCTTGTCAATCAGAAAGGACGGCGGTTCGGCGGTTCCTAGCCCTGCATAATGGAGTAAGCTTCCGTTACTTGTCCCAGCTTCTGCCAACCTAACAGTTTGAAAGCATGTAAAAATGCAAGTAGAAAAATAGGGACCAGCTTTGGTGGGAAGGTAACAGCGTTCCATGCACCTTCGGCGTTTAATCAAGGCAGCCACATGACCACGGAGACGTCTTCAGACAACACTGGCTCTTTGGCTTTGAAACGGAGATGAACACCATCCCCTAGAGTGGGGAATCACTAGCACGTATGTACAAGGAGAATCTTTACCCTTACCTTTACTTTATTTTAATTTACTTTAATGCAATGTAATGTAAATAAAACAAGTTAAAAATAAAACAAGCTCAGTGGCAGACTTGGCCAATCAAAGAACAAAGTTGATCAGCCTTAATCTTGGTTGGGTTCTTTTGAGATCTAACAGGTTGAGAGACACCATCCCACTGGGTCGTTCCGTAGGAGGCTCCTGGCTTTGCTCCCCATGATATCATGAATGTTTTCAAGGAGGTGGTGAAGGAGACCCTCCATTATCTTGGGAAGTAAGGGGTCCCTTGGGTCATGAAATCAGCTGTCTCCCACAAGAACATAATGTGGTGTTGTCATGACCCCTGGGGGCAGGTATATAAAGGCAAAAAGGAGAGGAGAGCTGTGGAGAGTTCAGGAGACGAGGGCGGAGGAGTGTTGAGCAGTTGAGTTGTGTTTGGTTGGCGTTGAGTTGAGTGGAGAACATCGCAGTGGAGGAGAGGAGGTGCATATTTGAGAACATTGCAGTGGAGGAGAGGAGGTGCATTGTGGAGAACACATTGGAGGAGAGGCGGTGCACAGTCGAGAACATCACAGTGGAGGAGAGGAGGTGCATATTTGAGAACATCGCAGTGGAAGAGAGGAGGTGATAAAGCAATAGAGAGAGAGATAGGATAAATTGAGGGATACATAGGTGGGTAGACGGATAAATGGATGGATGTTGATTGATAGATGAGTGATGAGAGATGAGAGACACAAAGACAGACGGATGGATAGGAACACCAAGGACTCTACATTTAAACCTGGAGTTACAAACATTCTCCTTTATTGATAGGATCTGCTGCCAGATATAGAGATCTCTCTTCACAGCAAGATGAGCCATAGCCTGAAAAAGTTGCAGTTTCTAAAGATGGAGTCCAATCCACAGATCAATCATGACCCGCGGCGGTGAAACCAGAAAGCCCATTCCTCTGGTTCCTGTCCTTCCAGTTCCCATCCTCAGCCACTCAGCGAACCACTCAGGTCTTTCCTCTGCTTGTGAAATCTTCCCCAGCCCCAATGGAGGTCAGGAAGAAAATTCTGTTTCCAGCACTGGGGCTGCCCAGTTTGGCACACAGAACAACTGTCAGGATCCCTCCAGGGGCTCTTCAAATAGAGAGGAAGCATGGCATGAAAGAGTCCGTTCCCTTGCCAAGGCTGTATGAGAGGGAATGGGCTCAGAGCAGCAACCTAGCCCAAGGGAGAAGATCTCCAGATGCCGTCCTGCCTTTACATCCAGGTATATACGCTAGGGGGCTGGGCTACCTATGGAATAACAGCATTGTCCTATCACATCAGCCCATCCCACACAATCAATCAATCAATCAGAACAGAAGCTTATCTAAAACGTTATAG